GGGTGATTCAGTTCTTCTTAGAAGGAGCAACAAAATAATCAAGGGAGCAAATATGGAGACAAAGTGTGGGACAGAAACTGAAGGAGGGGGCATCTGAATGGGTTACTCTTGTTGAGTGGGACCACGGACATAAGACACAAGCTATTGCAAAGGCTGTTGATTGACGAAGACACCACTTACAATGCCATCAAACATGAGAAATGAACTTATGCCCAAATAGAAACTTCACCTCACGGCTCAGAGGTTAAGAGCCCTGGGTGCTTGTCCAGAGGACACAGGTTCAATTCCCAACCCCCCGACATGACAGCTTACAACTGTCTATAACTCCAGTTCCAGGGAATCTGATATTCTCACATAGACATACATACAGGCAAAACACCAATACACATGACATTTAAAAAAATTAATTAGATGCTTCACCTCTACTGACTAGCATTCATGGTGCTGGAAGGTACTTTGCATACCACCAGAGGAGAAAGGTAATCATTGCTATCACCTAGTTACATACCCTGAGGCCTACACAGTGCCAGCCTCCAGGATAGTGGAGTAATAGTAGTACAGTTGCTATGGGATTAAGCAACCATGGGACCCATATATGACATTGCTAAAGTGGCAAGAACCAGGACTAGATAGTCCATGATCCCTAGGCATAAACCTACTACTATTCTGCTCAGGGAACACAGTAATATAATACTTCCTAACCACATATTACTATTTCTATAGCGCTGTGCATCACCCAGCCTTCATAGAAACTTCTTTCAGACAAGATCAGATGCATTCAGGATGGTATGGCTGTACAGATTCAATTCCCATCAAAATTACAATTCAATTCTTCACAGAGATGAAAGAGCAACATTCAAATTTATCTGGAATAACAAAAAACCCAGGATAGTGAAAACTATTCTCAACAATATAAGAATTTCTTTGGGAACCACTATTCCTGACCTTGAGCTATACTACAGAGCAATACTGATAAAAACCCATGGTACTGGTATAGAGACAGGCAGGTAGATCAATGGAATAGAATTGAAGACCCAGAAATAAACCCACACATCTATAGACACTTGATCTTTGACAAAGAAGTCAAAACCACTCTGTAGAAAAAGGAAAGCATTCCCAACAAATGGTGCTGGTTCAACTGGCAGTCAGCATGTAGAAGAATGCAAGTTGATCTATTCTTATCTCCTTGTACAAAGATCGAGTCTAAGTGGATCAAAGTCCTTCACATAAAACCAGATATGCTAAAAAATAATAATAAAAATAAAATAAAAATATAATAAACAATATCAAATAAACAAACATATCAAATAAACCTAGTGTAAAGATATGGGAATGGCAGCACATTCTTTCTTCCAGAGCTAAAGGCAAGTACAACAGAGCTGAAAACACCTAAATTATGTTACTTGTGACATTTCAGTTAGGAAGTTTGTTTGGTTTAAAGCAGAAACACTTGTAACATCCGGCCATGTATCTTTCATTGTTTTATATGGAATGTTCATGTAAGTTGATATAATAAAATAGAGGAGAAAGTGGGGAAAAGCCTCAAACATATCAACACAGGGGAAAATTTCCTGAAGAGAACACTAATGGCTATGCTCTAAGATCAACAATAGACAAATGGGACCTCACAAAACTGAAAAGCTTCTGTAGGACAAAGGATACTGTCAATAGGACAAAACAGCAGCCTACAGATTGGGAAAAGATCTTTACTAACTCTACATCTGATAGAGGGCTAATATCCAATATACACAAAGAACTCAAGAAATTAGACCCCAGACAACCAAATAACCCGATCAAAAATGGGGTATAGAACTAAACAAAGAATTCCCAACTGAGGAATCTTGCATGGCTGAGAAGCACATAAAGAAATGTCCAACATTCTTAGTTATCATGGAAATGCAAATCAAAATGACCCTGAGATTCCATCTCACACCAATCAGAATGGCTCAGATCAAAAATGTAGATGACAGCAGATTTTGGTGAGGATGTGGAGAAAGGAATACTCCTCCATTGCTTGTGGGATTGCAAGCTGGTAAACCACTTTGGAAATCAATCTGGCAGTTCTTCAGAAAATTGGAAATAGATCTACCTGAAGACCCAGCTATACCACTCCTGGGCATATACCCAAAAGATGCTCCATCATATAACAAGGACACATGCTCCACTATGTTCACAGCAGCCTTATTTATAGTATCTAGAAGCTGGAAAGAACCCAGATGTCCCTCAACAGAAGAATGGATACAGAAAATGTGGTACATTTAAACCATGGAGTACTACTCAGCTATTAAAAACAATGACTTCATAAAATTCCCAGGCAAATGGATGGAACTAGAAAGTATCATCCTGAGTGAGGTAACCCAGACATAAAAGAACACACATGGTATGTACTCTGATAAGTGGGGATTAGCCCAAAAGCTCACAATACCCACAATATAAACCACAAACCATATGGAGCTTAAGAAGAAGGAAAACCAAAGTGTGAATGCTTCAGTCCTACTTAGAAGAGAGAATAGCATAGTCACAGGAGATACAGGGAGGGAGAGAAGTGGAGGAGGGAAAAGGGGGCAAGATCAGGTGTGTGAGGAGATGAGGGAGAAGTAAAGAGGGTCAGGAAATTAATAGAAATATATAGCAGTAAGGGATGGGGACCTGGGGATAGCCACTGGAGGATCCCAGACACCAGAGTAAAGAGAGGCTCCCAGGACTCAATGGGGATGACTTTAGCCAAAATATGCAACAAAGGGGAGATATAACCTGTAGAGATCACCTCCAGTAGATAGGCACAGTCCCTAGTTGGGGGATAGGCCCACCCTTCCATCTCAAATTTTTTAACCCAGAAATGTTGCTGTCCTAAAGAAAAACAGGGACAAAAAAATGGAACAGAAACTGAAGGAAAGACCATCCAGAGACTGCCCCACCTAGGGATCCATCCCATCTGCAAATACCAAACCCAGAGACTATTGCTGATGCCAAGAAACTCTTGCCTACAGGAGCTGACATGAGTATGGCTGTTCCCTGAGAGGTTCTACCAGCACCTGACCAATACAGATGCAGATACTCACAGTCAACCATCAGACTGAGCCTGGGGACCCCAATGGAAGAACTAGGGGAAGGACTGAAGGAGCTGAAGGGGATTGCAACCCCATAGTAAGAAGAATATTAACTAACCAGACCACCCAGAGATCCCAAGAACTAAACCACCAACCAAAGAGTACACACAGAGGGATCTATAATTCCAGATACATATGTAGCAGAGGATGGCCCTATCTGACATCAGTGGGAGGGGAGGCCCTTGGTCTTGTGGAGGTTTGATCCCCTAGTGTAGGGGATGCAAGAGCAGTGAGGCAGGAGGGTTAGTAGGTGCAGGAGCACCCTCATAGAGGTAAAGGGGAGGGGGTAGGGGGTATGGGATGGGATGGGGGTTGTGGAGGGGTAACAGGGAAGGGGGATATCATTAGAAATGTAAACAAATAAAACGATTAATTAAAAAAACTTCTTTCAGTTGATGACGATTAATACAGAGGCACACAGCTGGACAATACTCAGAAAGTGAGAGACTCTGGAGCATTCAGCCCTAAATGGGATATCATTGTCAAACAGCTCACCTCAAGGCTCAAGGATCTATGCAGGAGAGGAGGCAGGAAGACTGTAAGAGCCAGAGGTGGTGGATGACTCCAGAAAAAGTAGTGTCTTCCAGACTCAACAGAGACAATCCACACTTTAACTCATAGACACTGTGATAGCACACAGAAGACCTGTGTAAGTACAACCCAGACAAAATCACAGCACAAAATCCTAACCCAGAAGGGATTTACAATTAATACTTACTATCAGTTTTCTCCAGTGGAATGTCCCTGGGCATATCAACCATGCACCAGGACACGACCTATGCCCAGGGATAGCTGGCCAACACAAAATGGAGTACATGTATTTTTCTTGTGTACAGTTTTTTGTGGGGATTTTTTAAGATCTATTTTTCTCCTGTTAGTTTTTTGGTTTGTTGTGATCTTTGTTTTTTGCTTTTGCTTTATTTTTATTTTTGAAAGATGGGGGAGGAGTATTAAGTTGAATGGGTAGAAAAGTAGGGAGGATCTGGGAAGAGTTTAGGAGAGGGAGATACTGTTTTAAAAATGTATGTGTATGTAAACTGAAAAAAATACAAAAAAAAAATCTTTTCTGCCATCTGGTGGTGGCTCATGTCTTTAATCCCAGCATTCTGGAGGCAGGCGAATCTCTGAGATCGAGGCCATCCTAGTCTACAGAGTTAGTTCCAGGACAGCTAGGGCTATGTAGAGAAACCCTGTCTCAACAACAACAACAACAACAACAACACCCCCAAACAACCAACCAAAAAAAATCTGAAAACAAAACTCCAACCAACCAACCAACCAACCAAAAACAAAACAAAACAAAACAAAAACAAAAGCAAAAAGGCAAACAAAACAAAACCCATTTTTCCTTTCTCATGAGTCCCTTTATTAGTGATTTTCATATTTTTAAAAGCAGACGATCCCTTGTTTTTCCAACTGAAATATTATAAAACAGCACAATGAGAACTTGCTCTCTTTGAAGAAGAAACTCAGATAAAGCCAGACAGAGCAAACCATATCAGATCTTCTGTCTCCACTGCAGACTCTTAAGATGCCTTTGAATAATACAGCTTGAAAACTATTGAATTAAATAAGGCATTCTATTAGACTATATGGTGTGTTATTACAGGTCACAATCAAATCTGGTATGAGAAAGTGTCTTTATTTCTAAAGTAGGGCCCTTGATCAACTCTGGTCTTACTTACCAAAAGCAACTGTTTATTAATTGTCATTATCTCATATAGAAGGAGTAACCTAGACTCATGTACACTGCATCTGTGCTTTACTGGGTCACATCTTAGCTTTGGGGGTCATAAAGTTTATTGTGACTTTGAAACAACTATATTCTGATCTGGAAAAGTCTACTACTGCTGTGGACGTATATCTGTGCAAAGAAAGTGTTTAACTTACCCAGACCACAAGGACATTCATGAGATGATCTATATGTGTTCGTTTGAAGGTAGACCGTCCACTGTTCTGCATTAATTTGGTGTCTGGCCCTAAGAAAAATGGAGAAATCCAGATTTTACAATCACTGAACATACTTGGAGCTTCAAATTGCGTTGACATGTACCTTTATGTTCAGTTTTTTCTTTTCTTTTTTTTTTTTTTTTTTTGGTTTTTCAAGACAGGGTTTCTCTGTATAGCCCTGGTTGTCCTGAAACTCACTCTGTAGACCAGGCTGGCCTTGAACTCAGAAATCCGCCTGCCTCTGCCTCCAAAGTGCTGGGATTAAAGGCATGTGCCACCATTGCCCAGCTTTGTTCAGTTTTTTTAAACCTCTTATGGAAATGCAATCAGCAACAACACAGAAAGGAACGAGTGTTTCCCTATTAAGTGTCCACACCAACTCCTCTCTCACCAGCACCTCAGTGAAGTCTTGATTTTCCCATGAGGTAAGTCAGAATAAGAGTCGTGGAAGCGTCCCTTGTCACCATCTAATTTATTTAGCTTAGGGTAGGAATTTTCTGATTAAGGATGTATTTGTTTTCTTTAGCCTATTCCTGAGTCAACTTCCTAGGAATGGAAGAAAAAAAGTAGCAATAACTGATTTTTCCCCCCCTGAGGTAAAAGCTGGGGAGTAGGGACTTCTCTGTGGCTGAGAGACATGGATGCCATGTTCCTTTATGGCAGCACAGACAGTGAGCAAAGGAGCAGTGAATGGCCATGGACCTGAGTTGCAAACCACTAGTTAGAGATATTGCTAGCAATCTGGGAGGAAATCTTCATAAGAGGGCAAGGAATAAACTGTATGTAATGATTTCACTGGCCTTTTACTACCCGACTACTGTTTTCATGTGTTCTAATGAAGGAATGCCACAACTGTGCTCACAGGCTTGTGGGTAGCTGGGCTTTTATGGCATGTGAGCACACTGGAAATGCATAGCATATGTGGTAGCATTCTAACCTTTTACAGGTCTGGGTTTTTGAGAAGTTCAAGGCAGAGTGTGGTAGCTACAGGGATCATATCTTCCAGAATTCTTAGACTGACCCTACTTTCCTTGCCTTTCAAGGAGGCAGAGAGACCATGGCAGAACTTGAACACTGCACATCAGGAATAGCCACTCAAGTTTGCACTGAGTGTACCACGATGTTCTCTGCAATATGAGATCCTGCATGGACTCCCAGACTCCATCACTATTGTTAACAAACCAAGAACCAGAAGGGACTGAAGCTGTGCTGGCACTAGAATTATTGCTCTGGGAAAAATCTTCAGCTGAACAAATGACCTTTCTAGGGCTTTCCCATGTGAGTGACCACTGACACACAGTGAAGAAAGCCTACTCTACATCATTTGGGTTTGAAACTAAGCAGCTTAGAAGCTGCCATTCCACATCAAGAGCCAATAAACAAAGCTCTACTGGGGCTTCCACTCCTAAGCTTCTCCAGAGGGTGGCAGCTTATTTTCCACAGAAGGAGAACTAGGAGCCCCATGTTTAAGAGTGGATGATCTTCAAAAGACCTCAAAAAAATCCGAGTTTAGTAATGTTCTCTATGGTAAACCGTTCTCAATTCTCCCTACCGTGGTTATGGTTGTGTTAAAGCCTGTATTTAAGGATATATTAAAGTATCTAAAAGTTCATCTGTTGAAAACTTGGTCTCCAGTAGGTGGCGCTCTTGTGGGTAGTAGACACTTAAGGTATGGAACTTTGTTGAAGAAAGTTCCCGTTATTAGGGGCCCCGCCTCCTTGAAGCCCCCAACCCCTTCTCCTGCTTTCTCAGCCACCATGCTATGAGCAACTTCGCCCGGTCATGAATTCCCACTATGATGGTTGGTCTTGCTAAAGGTCTGAAGTGACAGGACCAAGCAAGCTTGGACTAACCCCTCTGAAACTGAGTAAAAAGTTAAGTCCTTCTTCCTTTTAAATTAATTATCTATAGGGACAGGAAAGAAAAAAAAAAAGATTATCAATGTCTACTGCTACTCAGGGTACAGAGGGGAACAGAGTCTCTCTTCCCTAACTAAGCCATGAACCAAGATAACCTCTTACTATATATTGTAGGTTCTGATTCTAAATAACATCTCAAGATGGGCCACTAATGTAGTACTTTTCTCTTGGATGAAGTCTCCACATTATAGCTTAAATCTTTTTCCATAATCAACAGTCTATATTCCCTCCTAATAGGAGTCACTATGTAACCTTTCATTCACACAACGATTATGTGGTACTTTCTCTGTATGAAACCCTCTCCTGTGTCTGTATATACTGGACAGTCCCATGAATGCCTTCTGGTGTTGAAACCTAAAGCCTTCCTTGAACAAACACACTGCCAGGAGCAGAGTCACGTTCCCCCTCAGTTTCTTCTTAAATTTCCCATCCAGCCACCTGTCTCACCTCCCCATCAATCAAGCACGAAGCTACCGTTCTAACATATGCTTGTCTGTTGTACCCACATCCTAAGGATGCACTACCCACAGCTGGGCGGTGAGCAGGCTCTAACCGGCTGGGTCTGGCTGTGGCTATGAGGAATCGTACCAGTGTAAATGACCAAACCATAGCACCAGTCTGTGTTCCTGATGACACAGCCTCGGAGCAGGAGCCTTTCGGAGTCCAGTACGTAGGTGTCCCCCTGGTAGCTCAGTGTTCCAGAAAACTTGTCCAGCTTGTTATTGGGAGGATCACATCTAACTTCTCCTGCAGGAAAAGTGGGAAGAATTCTCTCTGTAACTTTGGGAGAATGCTCAGCAGAAAGGCAGAAAGAAAACCTCTTTGTTATATAACACAACACATTTTTTTTTCTACCTTTTCTCAACTGTTCCCTATCTTGTACTACACTTCTTTAGAAAAGCACAAAAAGATTTTAGGGCTATAGTGAAAATTTTGGTTTCTTTAAAGGAAAAATACAAAAGTAGGAATATTGTTTCCTTTTAATCCCAGGTGTTGATATGGGGCTGCTTCAGAGCGTGCACAGCAGCTGACTATGATTTACCTTGTGCTCTAGCAAGGCTGTGATTCTGAGAGCTGCAGATAGTTCTGTGAGTGTGTGACATTTGGAATTCTGGGGACTCTTTAGAGGGTGTATAAAGGTGAGGGCCACAAGAGTCGGGGAGCTGTTGGCTGTTACTGGTTGATGTTGGTTGGGGTTTGTGAAGGAGTCATGTGCAAAGAAGCAACGAGAAGAAATCAGACATCCTGATGGAGAAGATCAGACGTGGCCCAGGGAACGAGACGCCCCCACCTAGCAGGAAGCAGTCTAATGATAATGTCACTCCCTCTCCCCTCTATCCTTTTTTCTCTCCTATCTAGTTAGGGGGTTGTAAAGGTGGAAGAAGAGGAGTGGAGAAGGATGGAAGAAAAAAACCACAAAGTAGCCCAAAGTCTGGCTACATGGGGCATCAAAACCAACCAACCAACCAACCAACCAACCAACCAACCAACCAACCAACCAACCAAC